AACGTTGCAAAAAATAAAATTTTTTGCAACGGTTGATGAACGTTGCAAAAAGTGAAATTAGCAACATTTATCTAAAAAATGTTGCCAAAACTCAATTGTGTTAATTAATAACAATATTTGCTTACTAAAATATTGCGATAGATCCTTTAGCAACATTCAATTAATGAATGTTGCATTTTTTATGTTGCAAATGGTCATTTTTCTTGTAGTAACGCAATCTCAAAAACCTATACTTAAATCCCTCTCCCTCCCCGACCTTTATAGCATTTTCAAGAAATTCTTTAAACATGATATGCTATCTATATTAAAGAGTTTCACTTTCAAAATCATGTTCCAAAACATTGTTTAAATTAACATTTTAATTTAGAAAATTTGTTTGGCTCTCCAAATTCAACTCTATAATTAAATTCATTCAAAGTGTTTCAATTTTCAATGTAGGAAAATAAAAAAATAGTCTAAAAAAAAGCGAGTTAAAAGAAAAGATAGAGAAAATAATTAATATTTTTGGAAATAGTAAAATTAAGTGTTAAATATAAAGAATTTGTTGAAGTACTTCAAAATTTCAACTCTCTAAATTTATAGATGCTCTTCAAATGATAGAATATGATCTTTAAAAATAGAAAATATCTTGAAGATACTCTTATACCCTAAACATTATTTCTAATTGAGTTTTTCCCCAAAATTTTTCCTCTTGGTTTTTACCCCCATCATTAGTTTTGCTCTTAGTGGTAAACTATAGACACAAGACAAATAGTGCATAATATCCTACGGACTAACTTCAATGCAAATGATTGTACCCATAGTTATTAGACCCGGACCGGAACGTCCGATTCAAACCGAAAATCGTTGAAACCGGACCATGGTCCGGTCCGAGCCGCCTAATATTTTAAATCTGCAACAATCCAATAAAGCCCAAAGAAACCGTCGATTTTTCGCTGAACCTCTGGCCCAAATTTTAAAGAAACTGTCCGGTCCAAATACTTTATATAAAAACCCTCTCTCATTCTCCTTCACTGTCGAACTCAAACTCGAAATATTTACCCTACCCCCGTAGCAGTGCAGCCCATCTCTTGCAAGTCGAAATTTCACTCCCAAGAATCCAAACTTCAAATTTCAAGTTATATTAAATGGAAGAAGAAGATGTAAGTTTCAATTTTAATGGAATCTACAAAAAGAAAATCTGATCCATATGTGCATTGCTGGGTATTTCCATTTTCTTTGTAAATTTCATTTTTCTGTCCTCAAATTTTTGCTGCAAATTTGATCCATATGTGCGTTCTTGGGTATTTCCATTTTGTAATTTGATATGTGCATATGTTTGGTTGAATTTCACAGTTCTAATTTTTTGGTTTTTGGATTTTCATTTTGTAGATTCCATTAATTGTATGTTGATCAATTTTTGTAATTTAGTTAGCTAATTAGCTTTGTAAGCATGCTGTAAATCACAATAATATTCTTAAAGTCTATGAAGCTACTTTTTTGAACTTTGTCATATAAAGTATATATTTTTATATAATTGATTGTTGTGTTTATTGTTTCAAATTCATATTTCACTATATACGATCTAGAATTTGTGAAATTGGTATACAAATTGATATTTAGTTAATAAAACAATATGAGGTTAATTTAATTATTAATAGAAAAAGGAAAAAATTTATCATTCAACAGAAATAGTTAATATTATTTTTGATAGGAAATGATCCGTCGGTTGAACCACCGAGTCGCCGGTTGAACCACTGACCCATTGTGTTGTTTGGGTCGACATCCGGGTCGAGTTTGACAACTATGATTGTACCTCATCTATAATAATATATAAACCCGATGAACATTCACTCAAAGTATTCACATCGATGAGAATCTGGAAATTGTGTTTCGTGGTAGACGGAATTCGGAAATATGGAAATCCAGCAAAATCCAAGAGACCTAATCAGTCAAGCCATTCACAAAGGTATTCTTGGAAAGTACAAAATAACTACAACACAAAAAATCATTCGAAATAACCTCAACTAAAATTCGAACATTGTAAGGCCACCACATACCATGTTCCAACATTCTTGTACATAGTAGGCAGGAATTAAAGACGACAACAATTTTCCAGTTAACGTTATGATGGTCTCTTACATATTAGTGTGCCAGGAGAATTCTGGTAATGTTTTCCCAACTCAAATAGCTTATCAAGTCTCAAGAGTAAAAATAAAACTTCTTGTACATTCTATGGATGACAATTTGGATAACATTGTGTGCAAATTCAAAAATACTTTGGCGGGAAAGCATGTCGAATTCAAAAATTGTCCAATCATGTACGTCAACAATGATGTCAAACAAAATATACAAGTACCGTGATTTATAAATCAAACTCCTATTGTTAAATGCAGTGTGGAAAGAGGCGCCTCAATGATGTGTATAGAGGTAAGAATAAGCTTTGAGGATTTACCAAAAATTAAAAAAAAAAAAAAATAATAATAATAATAATAATAAATAAATAAATATATATATATATATAAAATAGAAGAGGCTCTTCTTTGGCATCGTTGAGTTACTTAATTGCTGCCATTGGCAGGGCTACAATAAAATCACCATTTCTTGGTAGCAATTAGGCTAAGCAAAACAAGCACGCTTTTCTGCTGTATTCCGAAATGTAGAAACAGAAAATTGGATACAAAGACTAACATTTATTTGGGAGTGGCGGTAGCGACCTTGAATTTATGGAGTAGGGTTTTTGCTAATGGCGAATGAATTGTTAAATTATTATTGGACTCCCTTGAGATTTCTGAATTAAACTAGATTTTTTCAGACTAGTCAACGAATTTTTTTTTTTTTTTTTTTTTTTTGCCAATATTAAATCTTCCTCCCACTTTTTTTAAATTAAAATTGACCATTTAAGCATAGTTATTAAACTCGATCCGATCATTGACTCGATCAAGGCACTGAGTCTCGAGTTGCTGGTCGAACCGATGGGTTAGTGGTTAAACATGTGGGTCAATGCTTAATAATTATAAAATATTTTTTAAAGTATAAAGTTTTTCTTTTAGCTAAAACAAAAAGAAAAAAAATATATTAATTATTTATATATCTATATATTATTTTGTTAAATATTCAATTCATGTTAATCAAAATAGTCACTATAATTTTTTAAAAATATTTTTAACAAACTATAAATGATTTACATATATATAATTATTGCAAATACATATCAATAAACATTGGATCTCTAGTGGTCAGATGGTACTCATTTAACCTCTAAGGTTCAAGTACTTTTGAGAAAAAAATTTATGGACAAGCTTTTAAATCTTGGTCAAACCAGTCAACCGACCTAGTTAGTATAAAAATCACCAGTTAACTCAGTCAACTCGACGAGTCTAGTCGGTTTTTACCAAATTAGTTGCATATTTATAAAAATATTCTACCCAGTCCGATCAGGAGCTCGAGTTGCGGGTTTTCCAGCCCGATCGACCGATCCGGACCGAGTTTGGTAACTATGCATTTAAGTCATGCAAAAATGATTGTAGTACTATTTTATTTCAAATGCCCTCTGGACAAGTAATCAAAAGTTAACGTGAAAAATTGGAGTATCTAAATGAATTAAAAACTCTCTCTAGCACTACCTAGTTTGACAAGAATGCTTAAATGGTTCAAAATCCGAACAAAAAGGAAGAGAAAGAGTGATCCTCTCTAATACGTTACATAAATCAATTTACGTTGGATTTAAATAGAAAGACTTTTGATCCACATGATATTAACGTCTAATTACAAATAGATGACCTAGTTTAAATTTCATATTCAAGGAGTTCCATCTACAATTTAAATTTTATTTCTAATTTATATTAAATAGGCGAGAGAAAAATAAGAAACATGAGAGAGAAAGAAAAAGAAAAAGAGAAAAATATAATATCTATTTTTTCTCGCTTCATCTAGAAAAATACATATAGATCAGTCATATTGACAATGTCTATTTTTTCTTGCCACGTTATATACATATAGTCCTAGACAAGTTGAACTGAAGATGAACTTTCATAGACACTATCAATTTTAGTTTACATGATCATCTTTTTTAATGCAGTTCACATTGACATTGGAAGTGCTCTAATGAACTTGAAATTCACATCAATTATCACTAATTTGACGTGAATTCCCAATAATTAGAAATTCCTACAAACGGGAAGATGAATAATATGATAACACTACTGAAAATGGAACGTGATTGTTACTTAAAGATTTCTAAAAGTAGATGTTATTTCGTAGGCAATTTGCACGTATCGTATCCAACATTCACAAAATTTTACTAAGCAATCATTAACGTTTTTTAGCATCAAACATCTTCGACCTTTCAAAAATATAGCAAAACTTGTCATTCCATCAATTTTAGCGGTTAAAAAAACCATGTAAAATGATGAATTTGCCCCATCTTTAAATAAACATACAAAAAAGAAAGCAATATTTGAGCCCCATTTTTTGGGAAAATATATTTTATAATAATAGTTTTTTGGTATATGTATGCTTATAAAATAAAATAAAAAAGTTTTGTATTTACGTTGAAAATTATTTTATTGTCAGAATTTGTGGTTTAAAATGAGTATGGACAAAATTAATTTTTATAGAATGAGGTTCAATCATGGGATTAATAAAAAATAAAGAAAAAGCTTCTTCCCCAATCTCTCTCTCCCACCCATTGAACCCCCACGATCCCCACCCAAACTATTTGAATCATCTCTCTGATTGAATAATAAAACTTGTAAGAACCTTGCATGTATGACATGTATTTTTTTTTACCAATACTTACATGACATGAAGCAGACTTTAATTTACTCTTTTATAAATGTAAATATTTATGAAATCATTTAAAAATAATAATTTTTTATGTGTACAAAGAACTAAAAATTTAAATAAGTACACTTCGGATTCTAAACGATATCAAGGTATATGAATACATACTTCTAACTTTCGAGTTACGACTCGATTTGAAAACGCAAGAATAAATATGTGTTAGCGAACCCAAAAAATAATAAAATCGTGCTATCATCATAAGCACAAAGAAAAAAGTATCGCCATCAACGCTATAATCGCACTTCTTCTTTCTATGTTCATTATTCCCCAACTTGATGAAATATCAGACTCCAACAAAGAATTATAACTAAAATTTGGGTTTGACCCATACAAAGCCTGTATACCTTCCACGTCATCAATGTTGAGGTCTACTTTTTTGGTCCTTGGACTCAAACTCGGGTACATAATCGCATTTTTGTCCGAAGAGTGAGCCAACCCTAGTACATGCCCAATCTCATGGGTCGCCACTGATTCTAAATCGACCGCCACTTTTGACTTCTCCACCGCGAAGTCCACTGCCCATGTCTCGGCGGCGTCGAGGTGGAACCTCCCATTTTCCGGCGAAAACGCGTGTGCAAGAACCCCCAACACCCCGTCAAACGACTCCCCATCCCCATGATCGCCTTTGTAAAACCCTATTTTGATATCGGCCGAGGAGTAATCCTCGACCTCGGTGAAGTCAACGGGAATCACTGACGACCACCTTGAAAAGGCTCGTCGAAAAACTGTTTTGATATCGGATAAGCTCACATAGTCGATGATTTTATACGGAGAGAAAGCGTAGGATAATTTCATCGGCGATGATTTGTTCCACCTTGGCTTGCCGTAGAAATAGGCGTAGTGCTTCGTTACATGTATACTGTGGGCTTTTGTTGTGTCGGAAACTCCACACCTTGGCGAACTGATCACTTTCATAGTATCGTAGTCGAGTTTTCCGGTGGTGGATAAGCCGAGCTTTTTCTGGAACACTAACAGAGCCGACTCAAACTCTTGATCGAATAAATCGGTGAAATTATTTTCCGGGATGGAGAAGTACCCAAAGCGTTGAAAATATTTCTTAAGCTCGGCCATGCCGGTGACGTGGCTGCCTTTTCCGGCATCAAGAAAACGAATGTTTTGAATATCGACAGTTATTTCGGTTAAAGGAACGGGTGGCGTCCGTGTTGCTATGGCGGGAAAGAGGGAGGAAAAATAAAGAAAAAGGATGAATTGAGTAATTTTATCATTAAAAAACCGAAACATGATTGAGAAAAACTTCGGGAGATTTTTTGGGATTGGGGAAGTCTTTATTAAGGCTAAGAAATTTTTTTTATATAGAAACAAAATTTGTTTGTATATACTTTAGCTTTAGATGAGATCGATGCACAAGAAATTGGTGTCTAATTTAGGAAAATTCTTCAGTGTGCAATTTTTATATTGAAATTCTTAGTTTGAAGGGTGTCGTGGTGGCCTGGTGGGTGAACCACTGACTATGCTTTCACATATATATGATATGACTTCAAATCTAGGGGAGGAATGGGGTAGGTATGAGGTTAGGGGGTGCACTGATTCTTAGTTAGTTATAATAATAATAATAATAATAATATTTGAGTTAATTTTATTTTGTATTGTGACGAAAATAGAGACAAGGAAACGAGGACAATAGATATAGGGTCAAGACGGAAAAGGGATGGAGATTTAGATTTACGAATTACTATAAAAAAATTCGTTGGTAGAATGGAAAGAATAAAGGGAAGAAGGACCCACAACAGGAAATGAATGGAAAGATCGAAAGGTTGAAGAAAGAAAGGATTTTTGGGTTTGCCGTGTGAGGGGTTCTGCCGTGTGGGGGACGGGGTGGAAAAGTAAAAAGATTTACTTATTTTATGTTAATTTGGTTTGCATGATTTGATTATAGTTGGGATGTGCTTTGTTTGTTGACCAAATTAGAGGAGTTTGACATCATCTTAATTAAGATATCATTTTACTGCATACTTTTGTGTGATTAGCTTGAAATACTAGCGAATCGTATTAATTATTGCGCCAAATTAAATTATCGTGCTACAATTCATCAAAATATTGATTAAAAAAATCTTTAAAAAGGTGATCGACATGCTGAATAGGATAAAATTAACAAGAAGTAGAATTTGTCAACTATCATACTATTTGATCAGCGTACTAAAAGTACAATAAAATAAACAAGTTATTTGGCCTTCGAACTTTTTTAAGACACTACAAGTTAATTGTTCTAAGATGATTTGTCCAAATAGATTTTAGAAAATATTGCATTATTGTTCCTGAACTTATTCCTTTAGTAGCAAGTTAGTCCTCACTCTTTCATTATAATTGCATAATCAATATTCAATACGGATATCGTCATAATCTTTGTTAATTGTCACGTGCCCTCACATTTTAATTTTATGAAACTATGTTTTTCTTTCTAATTTGAAGTAATCTCTAGAAATTTAGAGTAGGCATATTTGCATGGGGAACATCATAATTTAATGAAGCTTTCAATGATTCTTGTTTATTTATAACTAATTCTGCAATTCATGATAAAAGATTGGACCGCAAGGAACCTATTTGTTACTGGAACAAAAGATTGAGGACTAATGGTGGAATTTGCTCTTCTTCTTCTTCTTTTTTTTTTTTTTTTTTTTTTTTTGGCTTTT